TCGCACCAGCTCGAGAGCGGCTATAATCTAGTAGCAATGTTGTGCCCTGGTGTTTGTGGTGAGGATTTTCGTTGATCCTTGGTGCGTGCTAAATTTAACTATGCCACGGATCGTCGATGGTACAAAGTGTAGCAAGGAGATTGTCGAACGTCCAAGCAGAATATTGTGTTCTGCTGCATACTGGATCACAGAGAATTCGATTGTTCTTGTGATTCGGTCCCTCTCTTCGTGACTGACCAACGTTAAGGGTAGTTGAATAGTGCGTAATGGCCATAAGCTATTCCCGGTGAATCCTACCAATGGTACACTGGTTGGGGGCTGTAGCCCCTCCTTCCACGCATTTGATAGTTTCCGGAAATAATGCTCATAGAGTATATCGGAGCAACTACCATTGTCAATGTATATTCGATATACTTTCGTGTTACGAATGAATCCAGATATGAGGAGTGGATCTCGCGGATCCCAGTTCAGTGGTCTGGGATCACTGCTCGAAAAACTAATATTGAGAAGATTTCTCGAGAGTACCTCTATCTCGTCCTCCGCTTGGTGAGTTGTGTTTCACATACGAGACTTAGAGATAGTGAGTACCTCTGTGCCGTCATGCAGAGTTTTCTGCAATAGATCGGGATGCGATATCGTCGTCTGAGGCAGTGAACCATCCAATGATAGTTACTGAAGACTGCTCTGGAGTACTGGCTCTGCTATTTCTGCCATAGGCGGTGGGATCTGTGCCATTAGCACCTGGATTGGGGCCTGTGATACTCGTGGTGACGATCGTTGCTTACCATTACCGATATTCTGAATAGATCTCCCGCTGCGGTCGCAGATGCGGTTGCATTTAGATCCCCCTTTCGCAGAGGACCAGCGTCATTTGTTGGCCGTATCACTCTGAGGATACGTCCGGATGGCGCCAAATGTTGTGACATGCTCTTCAGGGAAATGGAATGCTGGATGATGGATCGGACCTCGATGTTTTCCTAAGAACACAACACAGAAAGATCGTTAAAGGGCGTCCGTGTGTTCTCCTGGGACGTCGCTCCGACGATCAAGTTAGTTTTCTTGAGAGAGAGTTTTAGGGTATATTTCGTGAGGAAGAAGATGGATCCCTTCCTTGAGCTGGAAGAGATCCTTTTATACCTGTTTACTAACGAATCGTGGGGACCTTGTCCATTGAGTGTCAGACGTGGCCTCCTCTTACTGGGAGTATTATGCCCACGCTAAGTAACTGCCAGGTGACATCAGTTCTGGGCGTCACCTAGGCTTTTTGTCACGCCCTGATTGGTCGTGAATGAATGAGAAGATCACGGGGAATATTCTTTCCTCGTGAGGAAAAGTGAATTGTCACCCTGGTGCCGGCTCACTTAGGCCAAGGTCGGGTCTTGGCCAAGGTTCTGGTGTGGTAACGTCTCAGTTATGCTTTCTGATATATTTAACGTGGTCGTACAAGGTAACGTTAACAGTTTTGATTTCTCAATGATATTATTTATAATTCAAAGGTTTGATTGTGATGTTTTCTCATTTCACATGTATAAATGTCATGTATTTTGATATCACAGGTTCTGATTTTCAACATGAATGTCGATCATTTCATTAACTTATCAAAAGCTTACACTAATATTTAGTAACTGAGTAGTTAACTGGTGGTTAAATCATGTATAGTGATGCGTATTTGGATTTCGTCCTCAGCGATCCTAATGAAGTGAAGATTCTTGAGGTCCAAATCCTGAGATAACAACACAAAGTGAGTCGTCCAATGGGATTACTCGCGGGAGAACATTTCGATAACAAAGTCAGAAAGTCAAATAGCAAGTTACAATCATATAAGTATAGGTCACAAGTGTTGGTAACATACCTCTTTATAGTCCAGATTACCTAGGGAACTGACGACACGAAATGTACTGTGCAGACGAGGGTCAAATCCACATAAATGCTCTCCTTACCGAACATACAAGAATTGTACTAAGGAGAGGTCATTGGTCATGCCATTTTATTATTGGTAAATCGTTGGTAAACTAAAGTACCGTACGGTCTGAAATTTTTCAAAGTTATTAGTTGTGAGTTTGTTGCTTGTACCCAACGCTTGCTCCTTCGCTCGTATTTACTCTCTCGACCTTGCTTCCTTCACCCGGTTTTTCTTTCCTAACCTTGCTTCCCTTTGTTATCTTGGCCCATGGCCTCGACGTATGTGGTTTGAGTAACCATGTGTCGGTATCCTGGTTCCAATTCGGAGGTACATACCTCGGTAATAAGGTATATACCACGTTAAGTCTCCCTCGTTAGGGTTGTTGAGTGACAATTCGAACTAGTTGTTGCACTGTCAAGACTACCTCGAGAAACGGATAAGTCCAATTTAGGTCCTAGGCATTTGATTGGACAGATACCTATTTATGTTTTCCATCATTCCCATGTAACACCGCAACCATCACTTCGAACCGCCGACATTTTCCTATAAAGTCAGGATTCAAGGAAACCGCATCTTCTTCATTCGCCGATACTTCTTCGTTTTTTCCTTATTCTTAGATTTTCTTCCACAGTAACCTTCGATCCCTAAATTCTCTATGTAACATCCCAATTTTCAGGTCCAAAAATTTCTTTTTAATTAACTGACTCATAAAAACATTCATAAGAAAATACTGTGAAATCACATCATCTCACAAACAATGTATCATGTCTGAAAACCCAAGTCATAAAATAATAACATATCATAGTACAATCCCAGAAAGCTCCATGCGGAAATCGTGTGTATGTGTGTGTGTGATGCGATGCTACGCCGCCGGCTCCTTCCCCTTATACGAAGAGGTACCTGAAACCAAAACCGAAACCGTAAGCACAAAGCATAGTGAGTTCCCCCATCATACCACATACCATACAATATCCTCGGTATCTTTCAACCGGTAATCATCGTCGGTATCTTTCAACCGGTAATCATCGTCGGTATCTTTCAACCGGTAACCATCATCGGTATCTTTCAACCGGTAATCCTCATCGGTATCTTTCAACCGGTAACTGGGGACTATTCCACCCCTACCACTAGCATACAACAACAAGATATAAACATACAGTCAGGCATATCCGGGTACTGACCTACCCTTCGGTCCTAAGGACCGCTACTAGGGAAACCAATCCCTATCATACTCGTAACATATCATACAAATAAAACTCATGACCAACGCATATAACCGAACCAAGATAATTATCACAGAGACAATCATCTTCTAAATACTCCTCTTTGGTGGGCCGGCATTATGGCCTTAGACCCACCCCTACTGGAAGGTAACTCACCTCGTACAAGAAGCTGATGATAGTCTGTGCGGGAAACCTCCGTCCGCTGCTGCTCCGGAAATCCTTCGGCTACAATCCCCACAAACACTCAGTTAGAAACTGATATCTACTCTTAGGGTAAAATGACCATTTTACCCCCAACCAAGTCCAAGTCAAAGTCAACTTCCAGTTGACCCGACTCGCCGAGTTGGGCCGTCAACTCGTCGAGTCCCTTCCTTTTACTCGTCCTTATCCACGACTCGACTCGTCGAGTTTGGCAATGACTCGATGAGTTCCCCTTCCTTACGAACATCAATGAACCTTCAACCGACTCGCCGAGTCGTATGAACACTCGTCGAGTTCACCTTCAACTGATGAACAAGTCCTGACTTCGACTCGCCGAGTTGTATGAACAACTCGTCGAGTTCATCTTCAAATATAAGGAGATTGCCTTGGACTCGCCGAGTCTGTTCTAGCACTCGTCGAGTCCCATGAACTAGTGCGTTAGGTCACTCTTTCTGTACTGTTGCAACCTTTCTAACGCCCAACTGAGTCCTTTTGACCCTCGACAGAAATGGGACTGAAAGCCTTGGACTCGTCGAGTCCCAAGAACGGACTCGCCGAGTCGATAACGTCCACACCCAAAATCCTCGATTTCTGATGTACAACACTTAACCAAAAGATAGATCTAGGCTCCTTTAATCGTTCTAGGACGTAAAGTTACAAACTTTACGTGCATGCATGGGACTTTGAGCTCAAAAGGACATAAAATAAGCTCTAGTGTTGCATAGGGCTTTCCTTGGGTGCAAAAGCAACCCAAATCTGCCTTGTGACCCCTTTAAAGACTTGATTCCAAAGCCTCAACCCCCAATCATGTTTGCAATCATGGTTGGTTACCAAAATGGCTTATAAAAGCCCTAAATCTCCCCAAAAAGGGGATCTATCAAATGAAAGAGCATGGTATAGACTTTATACCTCTCAAAGGCTGCAAATGATGAACCAAACTTGGATCCTTTAGCCTCCTCTTGATCCTTCTATGCTCTTCCTTCTTCCTTGTGAACAAAACCACCAAGAATCACTCAAAAGCCTTGAATCTTGCACCAAAACACTTAGGGTTTGATATAGAGGGTTTCTGGGAGCATAAAGGGGCGATGGAGGTTGTATAATGTTGTTTAAATAGGGTGCAAACCCTCAGATTAGGGTTTTGTCTAGACAGAGCCTACTCGTCGAGTCCGGGACCCGACTCGACGAGTCCATCACTTAAATCCCGCGTCTCATCTCGCTCCTACTTGGCGAGTTGGTCCTTCAACTCGCCGAGTCCAAGGCCAAAATTGCAAAATACTTAAATAAAAATACATACCAAGAACCAGGTGCTACACTCTATTATGGCTAAAGATGTCTTTCGAATCCATACCACTTTGTTGATTCTTACTCATAACCAACTAAATAAACTAGTGAAAAGTTTTCGCATAGGTCCTCGATTCTGTCCCCAACTTCCATCTCCAAATCAAACCATCACCGATCCTCCACTAGGTTGTGTTGGTGTGTACTTGATCTTCTTCAAATTAGGTTTACGCCTTCCCTCTTTTCCTTCCTTGGGAACCATCCTTGATTAATACAAGGTTCACATTGCCCAAGTAACTCCGAACGGCTTCCGGAAGATCATGTGCTTTGTGCTGCTATGCAAAGCCCTAGACGTTCCTCTTTTACTATCTATTTTCTGCTATTTGTATGTTCATATGGTTACCAAGGACTGGGTCTCTTTTTCCCTGCGTCGTGGTGGAATCGACATACGCGACGGCCTTCTGACATCCATCAAGAAGTGGAAAGAAGAGTTTTTCTTCATTGATGCTTCGGCTATCGCCACACAAAGGCAGTTTGGCAATCTGGCGAAACGTGATCTCGACCCTGCTCCTGAACTAACTATTGCAAAGCATGATGTGATTAAGAGATTGATCGCTAGTGACCTCTTTTGGTTTGACCCTGATGAGTCAACCTTGAGTTTGGCTGATTTAGACAACACTTACGGAGCTCCTGCTGTAGTTTCAGTCCCCAATTTGACAGGCAGTGACCTTTCCTTACTGGAACGACTTCATCGGAAGCATCGGTCTAAAGCCGTAAAGGTGGGAAGTTCGTCCACTCCCAAATCCGACCCATTGTCTGATGTAGATGTCTAGGAATAAGCCTAGATTCCGTCATTCCCGACAGCCCGGTGAAGTCCATTGCTCCTACCCCTTTATCATCTGAAAGTACTCACAGCAAGCCCCCCACCAGTTCCTCCAAACCCGTCGTCAAAAAGGGCTTCCGGTGCCGCTCCTATTGAGGTTCACAAGCGTAGATTTCTAGCTTCGTATTCTTCGGCTACTAGTGGTATTCATCCCTTATCTTCTCCTAAGAAAATGTGTATTTGTTGTTCTTCCTCTAATCGATACCCAGGGGTTGCCGACGCCGTGTTTAACTATTGACTTTTGAGCATTCTAACACTCCTATGGTGTACATGCAACCCTATAAACCTTGGATCTATGTTTTCTCTATTATACATGCAAATATTCAATATTCTAAGGTTTCATCCTAACTAGCATAATAAGAAGTATATACAATACATGAATCTAGTAGAATGACATACCTTTTGATGAAGCTTGAAGTCTTGAATCTTTAAGAGCTTAGTGCCCCAAGTGTTGCACCTCAAATGGTTCATACAACACCAAGAACCCTTGGAATAACTTGAGAATAAGGATACTTGCATCAAAATCGGTTTTGCCCTCTTGTGTACACACACAAGTGCCTATTTCATGAACTAGAGACCTCTTTATATAGTATGGAGGATTAGGGTTACATTCATGTAAACCCTAATACCCATGACCTTTCAATTCCATAGGATCCATGGGTCAAACACTCCATGGACTATCCATGAAAGCTTATCCCAACCTAAATGAACTTGGCCCATCCTATATATAAGAGTCCATATTTAATTAGTTCCTTTTTTTATCACTAGATTAATTCTAAATTAATTCTTGATCAATACTAATTAAATAATATGATTCCATATTAATATATTAGAACTTATAATATATTAATACAAATCATAAGTATCCTTTTTCTCATTTTGTCAATCCAATTGTTCCGATGCCATGCAACCTAAATGGACCATGCCAAATCGGGTCAAGTACATACCAATTATAGTTATGGACTTAGACACTAATCCAACAGTCTCCCACTTGGATAACTCTAAAACTATTATTGCGTATGACTCCAAAACCCGACTTGCAATCGTAGCTCTTAAAGCCGCTTTCGAACTCTGACCAAGTCAATGACTTGTCCATTAGATAAGGGATCATATATTCCTCCATTCTAGATATCATATGAACTGAGACATAGATTATAATTATTCTCTCTGTCCATTTGTTGTTTCCTGATTTCCGATTTATGATGACTCACTAATTGAACAAATCAAATCAGTCCTGGCTTGGCCAAGCACTTAGGGGGTGTCATCACTAAATCATCGAGGGGCCCACAAATATCGCTTTTATCCCTACAAGGGTAAAAGGAATGGATAAACTTCTACTCATATGCTTGTTCTACTACTTGTTGAATCATACACAAAGGCACGTTTTATAACATCGAGTTACCAATGCGTTTTCGCACAATCAATGTATAACCAACTCATAGTCAACAACTCATATCTCTAGGTTTGAAGAATATAAGATATTAACGTCTCATGATTCACTCGTGATAAAATCCATGAAGTGATTCAAATGAGCATGGGTTTAATCCAATACTCGAATCTCATTCCAGGAGCACTCATGAAAGTTGTAGCAACTCTTGCTATGTCCAACACCTTAGACATTTACAAACCCAATTCATGACAGTCTTACCTTAATACCTACTTCCAACGTATTATCGACTGTGGATGGTTTGAATAACTTAGTCAATCGGAAAGAACGACCTAGTTATTCTGGAAGTTAAAACATGCAAAGTGAAACATAAGAGTAATCGAATCCAATATGGTCTCAGAACTTATGAATATAAATAGAAAACCTTTTATTTATCACCATATTTATTACACATTATTCATTGCATAATGTTTCATATAATCAACTTAATACTTGAATTAAAACAATAGTCATGCCATGCTCCAAGCATGCACACTATGTTTGTCCAAACAATAGTTATGCCATACACCAAGTATGCACACTATGTTTGTCTATGATCCTTACTTTGTGGAATAGATCAATTGAACATAATTTCAATGATTCTCATTTTACAATCCTAAATCCTTATCGTAAATGTAAGAATTCCAAATTCCTGCCATTTACCGAAATCTATTAGATTCTAAACTTATATGCACTGATCCTCTTGTAATGATTATGCACAAAGTCACAAAGACTTGTCAACAGACATTACAGAGTATTCCAATGGAGATCAATTCCGTTGAAATGAAGTCTCATATTCAAAGTACATTGCTTTGAACATCCTTCTTGCATTAAGTTTTCTAATCTTACACAGATTGAATAACTTCCACCTATGGAAACATTTCCATATTCCCATTTTGACTATCACTTCTGAATAAGAGTTGCCTCTTTTCAGAATATGTCAATATGGTCCTTTCCAAAAATTTACACCATACTTCCAACTGTCCATGAGCAACCAATCTTTGGTGAACCTTAGATTGTCCTCGACAATTGCTTAATCATTTTAGTCATATCCACTTCTAGACCTTTTCCCCTCTTAATGCTCTGGGCATTTGGAAAATTTAGAAAGGATTATTATAGCACATGCAATCAATCCTATATCCGAAGCATATGGGACACGATTCATTATGTCTCACATAAAGATATGATATTAGATCAGTCTTTTGCTATAATATTTCTATTTCTATTTTCCATGTTCTCATAATTCAGATTATGAAAAGGAATGTCGTAATCATAATCGAATTTTAGAACGCAAATAATGTTCCCATATATAGAATTTCCTTATGTTGAACCATTCCAACATAACATTCATATATATACTTGACTAAATTTGATTAAAATCTCACGATCTAAGCTTTTAGATTTGAAATGAAGTATACTTTCCTCTCCCTTAATTATAGCAAAACAACTTTTCCCAATTGAAACTTTTGTTTTCTATAATTAACATTGCTAACTTGCAACACTTATCATAATTATCATGCTCCCACTAACATGATGATTATTAGTATAACACTTATGCTCCCACTAGCTTTGATATGTATCCAGAAATTAGTTGGACTTCTAGAAATCAATACTTTATTGACTTTCTTACCAAAGTTCATATTTCTGATACGAGATGCTTTGATAAAACTTTATCAAAATCATACACCTTTCCTTAGATAGCTCACATGTGTGTCTAAACAATTGTAGAACTATGAAAAGGGATGTCGTAATCATAGTCTCAATTGTTTAGACTTTTTCCATTTCTCACAAGTCCATGTTAGTGTGCCAGTTACCCACACGCGCTCCACAAACGACTTTGAGAATGCAAATATCACAATTGCTATCTACTTAAAATCTACTTAGTGAAAGCGTTTCCTCACCATCATTTTCATGAATCGGAGAGAAACCTTATGACACTTAGATTTTATGGTGTATGTGTTCATATACATGTGAATTTGTCAAAACCATAACCACAAGACAAGGTTAGTGACAAATCCAAATTCACATGGACTGAACTTGTGCAATCTTAAATTCTTGCCACTTGGCAGCACAAGGGCATGCCATTGCTTCCAAGTAGTTATGCAAACAATTGAGAACTTGTAAAACTCAGATGCATAGTCAACTCTAACTGGAATAGGCATAGAAATAAGAATATGTCAACACGATAGGTTACAAACCTCGAGTCGTGCGCTAGCGATAAATTACAGGTTTTTATTCTCGATTAGTTCTTGAAACTCTTACTGGATCTTTTAAACTCCCACTATCCTCTTGACATATAAGACTCTCTTGCCAAGAACCATTCCTTGACAAAACAAATATTCAAGAGATAGTGCGGATTCTTATCAAGACAAACACTTCACACAATTGGCCTTAGTTGGTCTTTGTTTTATCCAAAACATCACAGCTTACCAATTTCAAATGTACAAGAGTAGAACACATTTTACTCTTACATTTGACAAGTGTTATAAACCTTCTTTAAGATGTGTCACTCAAGTTACAATCTTGGAGTATGACTCTAAGACTTGTTTTGGAACGAAGTATAACTCATCTTCTTGATTTAACCACTTCAACAATTCATGACTCCTCTTCTTAGCCATAAGAATGCACTAAAATGTCCTTAGAGGATGAATTGTGATATGGTCTCATAATCATTAAGATGATCATAAAACATGATACTAAAGTACTCTCCCATTTTTTCAGATTTGAGAAACTTTTATCTTTCTGCCAAATTTGATTCTTCTCATTCGTTCTACCATACATTGAAAATTTTCCAATGTTTCAAAGTTATACTTAAGCTTGTAAGTATAACCATATTTACTAAACTTTAGTAAATCATGACGAATAGTCTTATCGATCTTTTGTGGACTTTGACCAGTGCACAAGAAGGTGTACTCGATCCCTTAGTCCTTCACTTGACTCACATATACATGTGAACAAGGAATTAGTCTTAATTTTCCAAAGATGAAATATCTCATTCATCATACAATATAACTTGCATGATTCCAAGTTTCGGTCCAATTGAAACTTGGGTGAAGAGAATCTTTCCTTATTTGGTAAATTTAGACACTACCACAAATGAAAGACTCAAATCCATTTTCCAATATTGCTATCAATGGAATCATATAAACAACATTTTTTTTCCACAAATGCCATTGTAAGGAATTTTAAAATAAATAAAATTAAATCTTTTTCCTTTTATTTTAAAAACTTGCGGAAAACTTATCCTTAAAATGCAAATGCATATGAAAACTTGTTGTTATCTATTCCTAAGCAAAATATCATAACTCTTAAGCAACAACTCAAAATTCTGATTACTGAATCATGCGATCGAAATCCATCTTCGCGATCAGAATCAACATATTCTTCCTTTAAGCTTCCTCTTTTCTTTGATTCTTAAAACATCAACATGTGACCTAGTCACATCATGTATAAGAATCTCAAATAGGTACTTAATAGAGTTAGATAGTGGACTTTACCCGAAGTAGAGTCAAACTTTGACTTTT